GTTTGTGATCAAAGTGTGAAATGGATGGAGTCCCTGTGGCCCCAGAGTAGAGAGCCAACGCTCGGGGCTGTGGCCATATTAGAGGAGCAGGGTCAGGCATTAGGCAGTTGCTGAGTTGTCCCCAGAGATCCCCTTCAACTTTCTGTTTGGTGTGAGACCACCTCTATTAGTAAAGGCAAAATCTGCAGGAAGAAGTGACTTCTAGTCCTCACTTCAAATAAAACAGAGCAGGATTTCAGTCCAGACACTGCAGACAAGTGCTCTCACTAGCAAGCCTTCTGGCTGTTCCTGATGAGTTTTTCCTGCCCTGTTCTGCAACAAACAGTGTTGGTTTTTTTCTGACAAAATATAAAAGCTTCAATTTTGCTTCTATGATGGAATTTGTTTTGCAGCCAAAATATATTCAATTTAATAGGATTGCCCAATTTTGAAAGCAAAGGTAATATGTAACACTCAGTTCTGAGACAATTCCATTGATACCAGAGGACTAATATTTGATCTGAATTGCAGCAAGGTATGTATTTTCAATCCAAAAAGACAATTCATACCATTCATACTAGCTTCTCTCTTTGGATTTTTTATTGCTTTTTTTTTTTTTTCTTTTTAGCACTGGAGGGGATAAGCACACTGCTCATCCCTGCAGAGAAAGACCCATTATAGAATGAACCTGGAGTGTGCATACAAGGAGCACCCCTAATGAGCAGCATTTGCTACTGGGCATTCAGTCCTCAAAACCACATCAAAACTAGTTGAAGTAAATTATATCCAGCATCTATTATGTGGCCATTTCAAAACCCTTCAGACCCACTTCCCATTGCAGTACAGATACATCCCGAGCTGACAAGATTTTTGTGTCAAGTCCCACTGCAGTGAAAGTTGAGACATACAAAACTTTTTGGGGTTACAGTTAAGTGCATCTTGAAGTACTGGGAAGGATCTAGGCAGTTATAATGATGATAATGTTACTTAAGACAATGGTTATACAGAACAGAAATCGGCCTCTGAAATTTGAAATACGAAGCTTTAGCTGGACAAGGTCAGCATTATTTGTGACATACTGCAGTTCAGTTCAGTTCACACATTGCAGTGTGAGATGACATAAGACTGTATAACAAGTGTAATTGCTATATACAAACTTCCTGTGTATGTAAAGGAAGCCCATACTGCTAGATTTATTTGTTAATACGAAGAAAGCCATTTTTTAATGTCAGACAATCCTTAGAGGAGGGCCTCTGTGATGAAATAACATTTATCCTTTTCTGTTCCTTTGTCCATTTTTACGTTTGTATTTTTATATTATAGTTCAGTATTATGTCAGATGAAATGCTAGAAGTACATTTGTTTAAAAGTTAATAATCAAAGTGCCCCAATAGAGATATGTTTCCATCATTAAATTACACCAATTAACAATTTCTGATTGAAAAAGTGCTCTTGTCTTCACGGGATATATCTAATATTTCATTTCTGCTTAGATTTGACTCATTGACTATACACTAGTGCACTGTCAGCTAAGAGTGTGTGTAATGCTGCTGCTCTTTATATTATTATAGAATATTCCTTCTATTATACTGTGTGGAAGAATTTTTGAGGATCATGTAATCTGTGTTTGGAAGGTACCCTAGTCTGAATATAGAATTGATGTTCAGTGTATCTGACACTGACAGAAGAAAGAGGATAGATCTAACCAAACAGCCACAGATTGTGCCTAGCCGAGGTGCTGCAGACACAAAAAAAGGTGTGAATCCAGACATTTTCTGCCTACTTCTAACAGCCACTTCTCTAATCCTGGTGATATAGACATAGTGTTGGTTGTACTGTCAGACGGCCAAGGGAAAAAGCCGCAAGAAAACAAAACAAACCCCACCAAAACAAAGCACCCTGCTTTTTAGGGAAGGACCTGCTCTTTCCATGTTTTCTTCCTTTTCTTTTATGAGTAGGCTAAAACGCCAGAAGTCACCAGATTCTGAAAGACTGTGAATTTTAGTGGAGTTGGAGCCTGGATTCTTTCTAGTGCACTTTGAGTACTGATAGCCAGTTACCCTTTCTAGTACTCTGTCCTATCTAAGTTATCACCTGTTGCCTGTTTTGAGAAACCTGTTGAACATATTTGTGAGAACACCATGAAAAAGAGCAGTGATATTTTAACACTGCGTTTCTTCCCCAAAGAAAGTTTTAGAGGGAAACCTAAAAATATTGGTTAGCAGAAAACCATTTTGGGGACTGGTTGGGTTTGTTTGGAAATGGAAATTTTTGAGTTTTGCCCTGATATATTGATTTCTTCTATTTGGCTGTAGAAAGTAAAAGCTCATTTTTAAGGTAGCACATTTTTTGGTTAATAACATTATCGTCTCCGTATTATACCAGCTGAGAAACTTAAGGGGGTGTTCCTTTAACAAAAAAAAGGTTGGGGTTAATAGCTGAATATTTTTTTTGAACTGAACTTTTGGGGACAGAATTATTTCTGTTTGCAAAATGTCATTCTCTTCCTATTCTTTTAATTGGAGACATTATTTGAAGAATATATAGGTTTATGATTTTAGCCTCATTGTTAGCACAACAGCAGATATTAAAGTCATGTTTAAACTCATTTGTTCCTTGAAAACTGCTTTGGTAAGGTCGCTTACCCTTCTTTTATGCTGTGATAGCAAGTGTAATTTTTTGGTCATAGTTTCCTTTGTGTATGTGTGATATTGTTTAATTATAAAAAACATGAATTAATTTGAGTTTTCATCTTGAGAGGCAATACGAAAATCTTGCAAACCTTCTCATTAAATTCTGCTGAAGTAGGTGAATCTTTTTCAGAATACCTATTCTTGTGAAAATCCAGTGTTCTTCAGATCCTGTCTGTAGTTCTAGCTTCATCCATCAGTGTGATCATAGAATAGTTTGGTTTGGAAAGGAACTTGTTATGCATGGCTTTATATTGATTTCATACTTTAGAACTCTCATGGCTCTGTTTCAGATCTGTTTTCAAAAGGACAATGCTAAAAGTTAACTGGATACGTTTTCTGTGCTTCCATTTCAGAAACAATGAATTTGGGCAAACAGAGGACTCCACTCTACTGCCGTATAAATCGTTTGAGTAGCTGCTGGTTTATGCAACATTTCAGCTCCCTCAGATTCGGAAACAGAAGGGTTATATCATTAGCTACTTGTATTCCTAATGATACTGTGCGTGTGGCTTGCCAGGGATCACCTTTGATGGAGGAATGTTCACAGGATTTCAAAAAGGTAATTTTGGGTTGATTCCTATGTCATTACTGCAGAGGAAGCTTTAAAAGGAGTGAGAGCATGCAAAAAAGAGCAGGAGCAGTTTGGCCATTATTAGCTTTCCATCTTTGGCTGAAATGTTTCTGACTTGGTCTTCACTTCCAAATAGTTAAGTACTATTTTTTTTTCAAAAATTGTGTACCAGTGTTTAAAGTCATGAAAATTTGTTCCTTACTGAGTTTGGATGTGCGTGCTTGTTTGGTTTCTAAATTAGAGGTACTAATCTAGATTTCAGTTACATTTTGGTATGAGTTCTTTTTTAACAAGGAATGGGGATTTACTGCAAACCTCAGGAAGGCAAAGGATCACTTGTCTACTGTAACTGTGCTGGTGTGTGATATGCTTTGAATGTTAAAATTAAACATAATAATCCCTTCCAGAGATTCCTTAATCGGCTTGAGAGGTGGGGGTTCCCCTTTAGAACTCTCTGAAACTTAGAACTGTTTTGGAGCACTGAGTTTAAACCTGTGTTAAATGCTTGTCACCCAGCAGTTACTTGCCAAAGGACATTATTTCATACGAGTTACAAGAGCATTAAGTTAGAGTTGTGCTGAAAAAGTGATCTAGTTTATGAGAGGGAGAAGGTAGGAGGATCAGTTATATCTAAATATTTTCTGGCACATGTCAGTATTTGTGTTTTGCAAAAATACAAATTGAAATGCTACAGGGGTTTATGTTTTCTTCTGGGGTTTTTGTGGTTTTTCCCCCTGTCCCCCCTTCCCCTTCCCTCCCATGGAACTTATTCCAAGGTTTACCTACTATCAAAATTAGGTTTCTCTAAACCTAACCCTTGTACAAATAAAGCTGATTATACAAGGTCTTAATGAAGCAGAGATATGGTACAATTGGTCACGGACATCTTACTGGTGACATTCTAAATACTGGAAGATTGTTCTTATGGTTTTATGTTCTTGACCAAAGAGCCTGGAGTTCTTTCAACATTTTCATGGTGGCTATAGCTTAAACTTGTCCAGTTGTCTGCTGCTCGTTCTTTAAGTTTTCTTAAGTGGACCCAGATTGGTGATACTGAGATTTTATCTAAGAATAAACACTAAAGTTTATCTAAGGATAAACCTTAAAATAGTGAGTACATTACAAAAAGTTACATTATAAAAAGTATCTTCTTGATACAACATTATCAAGGTGTGTACAAACTGTTTAATAGCTTCTTCTGGTATCCCTCATCAAATTAGTTCCCTCAGTTAGACTGCAGTTTCCTCATACTTCTATTATGCCCTTTTTTACTCAATACCATGTTTGACCTTCTCCAGCCTTCTGTAACGACGCTTACTTTCCCTACCGTTTGAGACAGATCAGTTTGCTCTTTAAGACTTGTTTAGCTGCTTCTTTGTAATGAGCTTGCTTGCTTCTTAAGAACTTGTCTGTAGTCAGTCCTGAGTGCATTCGCTGAGTTGTTTATATGCTTTGGTAAAATTGTCACAGAAAATTGTTTGAAATAATATCTATGTTCAGTTTCGCCCCAGGTACCATTATAGGAAGGTCACAGTAATACTGTTCAGTTAGGAAAACATTATTTCTCTTTTTAGCACAAAAGCGTGCAAGGTTTAACACTGTTCCATTACACAAATCCCAGTCCCCTAATGCTTTTGTCAACCTGCTCATAAAATAGATAGGGCAGTTGCCAGCACAAGTAGATCAAAGGATTAAATATTTAATCTTTTAGAGGCTTTGCTCCTTAGGTTCTTCAATCAAATGATAAAGTCACTTACTTTTGCTTTGAATAGTGAATTCCTTAATTGTGAGTGTCAGGAGATGTAGTTTGGAGAACAGATGAGAAACAGCAGTTAGGAATAAAACTAGGACATGCTTAATATATGTAAGCTTGATTAAGGTAACTCATGGAAGCAGGGCAGGCAACAGCTTAGTTTCTCTGTTATACATGAAGATGAAACTAAAAGGTGGTCATACAGGTCATTAATTACTCATCCAGCAAGGGCAAAAACAAAAATAAGGGACTGTATACTCTATTGATATCTGTGCTTTTCTGATAAACTGTTTTGGCATTCCTAATTTATACAGATTTAGTGTAAAAGAATGTTCTCAAAAAGCTACTTAACGCTTGCTGTGCAGCCTTTACAGTTTTGTGTGTGAATATTTTGTGTGTCTGAGCACACACGAGAGGAACAAAGCTGGTCAGTTCTTATATTTTGGGGGGTGAAGCATACTCTTTTGGAATGAGAGGGAAAAACAACGGGAAAGAAAATAATTAGAGGTGCAACAATTTACATATCAAAATGCACCTGGAGGCCCTGGTGAAGCATCTGTAGCTGCTGGAATGGACTACAATTATGTTTGAGTGGGTAAGGGCACAAGGCTTTAAGCATAGGAAGTTCAGTGTGGGGCATTTTTATGCTGCTCTATTCCTTATAGTGTCAAAGCCTATGGAAATGATAAATAAATTTCTCAGGTTAATTAGGGGTAGGAGTATTTGCAAGTCTCTAGTGATCTGATCCTGTTTACGAGTGGATTGTAATGGACGCAGGTACTTATTTAAGTGTGAAAGAAAAGTAAAGAAAGCATTCTAACCCAGTAGTATTCTTGAAACTTAATTGACCTGAGGAATGATGCTCTTCTGGTCAGTTAATACTGATATTCATTAGCATTTGGCTAACAAACTTTACTTATGAAATGGAGGGAGGGAAGGGGGGGAAACCGGGGTGTGAAACACAAAAGCAGACTCGATTTAATGGCATCCCTATTGGCATTGAGTATTTCCAGCCTGCACATGGGCAGATGTTATGAGAGCCCACCAAGCCTCTGCTGAGCGGCTTGTTCAGTTGTTGAAGTTTTCCATCTCATTAAATTTCTATGTACAGAAAGCAATTTCTTCACTGTAGATAATTTTATTACCACAGCTATTTGCACTACAGACTCTGACAAGGAAACCCAAGTGTTAAAGATTGGTTTCTAAAAATAAGCAGATTTGCATATGTTATAATAAACTCATAACTAAACCTTCTTAAACGTGAGAAAAAGGAAAAAGGACTCCAGATGAAAAGAAACTAAAGGTCTGACTAGGAAAAGCCCAAACATATTAGGATGGCAATAGGATTTTCCTGCCACTGTTTTTGAACCTCAGAAATTTAATGAGATTTAGTACAAATAATCTGTTGCTCAGTAGGATATCCTGTAGGTGTAATTCTTCTGAATTTCTTATACGTTTCCTTATACATTTTTCTCCTGTGTGTTAACACAAAAAAACCCTTCAAAATCCCCAAGCCAGCCATCCAAAACCACAACACACCCCCCCCCAAAAAAAAACAAACAAACCAAAAAACCCCCCAAACCAACCAAATAAGAAAACTCCCAAAACAACTGGAATCAAATAAAGTATAAAATAATAAAAGGAACTTATATGACCCTATTAGTCTCCACAAAGAAACTGTGATATATTGAACTACCTTCATATTTATTTTCTTTCCCCACTGCCCTCATAGGTTTCAAATAGAGATCCAGGCAAGTAAATCAGATATTGGCAACATGACCTAGGACTTGTACATCTTTTTGTATTTGTAGAGGAACCTCTTTCAGATGTGTGCCCTTACACTTTCAATGTAATATAGAGGTTTTCTTCTACTTACAGTTTCTATGTATTTGTCTCCTACTCTTGTATGTACAAATCAACTAAAAAAAGAGGGATTAGCAAATACATTTCCCATTTATTCTCATTTGTTTAATACTTTATAGCAGTTAATGAAACAGTGGTCAAATATTCTGATTATAGGTGTGGACATTTGTTTCTCTGGAACTCAGGACCTCCACAAACAAGCGGCATACACTAGGGATAACAAAGGAATACAGAAATTAGAAACAAGCGTATTTTTTTCTAGTTCTGAGTAAAATGCTTTTTCTTTCTAAGAGATTATAGAAATTAAAAGCTAATTGCTCAGAAGGTGTTCTTTTCTGATATGTGAGAAATACAGTGAAATGACACTATGTTTGTTTATACCTATATATACACACATTCACATATGCATACACACACAAACACAGAGACTCCCAAATATATGTTCACATGGTGCTAACAACCTAGACTAAATAAAAAGCAAGGAATACAAAATTCAAGCTGTTTGCTTTGCCTTATCTATTTTCATTATGCATGGTAAATATTGCAGATCATATGGCCTGTAAAATCACACGCTGTTTGGAGACTCCTTCAGAGTTCTTCCACAACAGGGGATTGGAAGGATAGATACAGTACCAACTCTGAGTTTTCCAGACTTTTCTATTTAGTTGGACTCTTCATGATATCTGGATTTAATTTTTTGCATGTGAAGCTCTTCTATTTCCTGTATTTTTGATTAAAAAAAAAATACAAAATCCCATAGAAAACCCAATGTATGTCAAGGGAGGGCAATGTATGGAGGGGTTAGGATTTTCTTTTAGGATGCTTGATCTTAGAAGGTAATAGCACCAGTGAATAAAAGTGGTGATTAGATAAAGAGGATTGGTACTGCTCATTGCTAGGAATTGATGCCTACTCAGAGTCTGGGCACCACTGTGCACATATGACTTCTTTTAAGTCCTGGGGCAGCTCAAGCTTTTTCATATTACAGTACTTAGGCTTTAACTGAATATCCAAAATTTCATGACAACTCTCTTATGAAATGAAAAATAACTTTGCAAAAATGTAAGATAAATAAAATATAATTAGATTGATAACAATATGTAAGGCAGGAATAAGAACTTTGCGCTTAGCCTAATGGTTATTTCATATACTCAAATCAACATAACCTTCTCTGCCCAATATATAATTGTTGTCTATATGCCTAGAAGAATGCTGCCATTATCTAGAGTATCTTTGCAGTAATATGGTTTTCAGATTATTTAGGGGTCAAGCTTTGATTTAAAGCAAGAAGTTATGGTAAATTATGATGAGTTAATTTAAGGCCAGTATTTATGCGCAGGAGACTTGTTAAGAAAGGCACATCATTTGACGTGCTAAGCATGTTAGCAAATGTTACTTTTTAAAGCAAGTACGATTGTATAGTGAGACCTAACATTTCTTAGGCAGAGGTAATAAGATTATGATGCAAAAGTAGAAATGACCTTTGGCTGGTTAATTACCTTATATTATGATGTTCATTGTATGATCCTAAATTCAGATAAGATTAAAATGAGCACAGATAGCATAGTACACATTTTTTAGGTGATTTGTCAGTGGTTAAGTCCATCTGCATCCATAGCTGAGTCCATAATGCTATGGGCCATCAGAAGGACTGTTTGGGCTGCTGCTTGGACTTAAATAAGAAGCTGTCCTCAGCTGGTCACTGTTGACTGCTCTCAGAAGCTGTGTGAGTCCTGGTGATTTTACCACTTGTTTGATCACTCTGACTTACTTTAAACGTGAGTCAGTTTGCAAAGCCATCACAGATAGTAAATTTACTTTTTCTACCTGGGTTCAGTGACTCAATCAGGCTGGCTCCTAACAAGATAAGAAATTCAAACTGCAGAACTGAGATTGCTCTCTGCAGCAACCAGGAGGGTTCTGCTGTGCACTATATTTTAAATGTTGTTGATGGTTTCTAAATAAGCCTGAGGTTTTCACTTTGCTAAATCTTCTACCTTGTTTACAGCACACATCTAGTATTTTGGGCAGAGAACGGTATCGTTTTCAGGTGAATGCAAGTCAGTCATCCATAGTTCATTGTGTAAAAAGTTCTCTTCATGCTGACTTTTCATTGCACAATCAGTCATTTTCCATAAAATATAAATATGTAACAGCATGTTCATGTGCTGTGTTCAACAAAAGGGAAAAGGGAATTAGCAAAATTATGCCTACATTATTTTAGAAAAAAAAAAAAAGAAGATCATACTCTTGTGGAACAGTGCAAATCAGAAGTTCTCAGTCTGTGTCACCAGCGCTGGCAATCTCAGGAGAGGGTTTTTTTAATTAAAATTCTATTTTATTTGAATGAATAATGATTGCTAAAGGTTCCTACGATTACAGTTTTTTTAATCTAATGGATTACAGGCAAAGGAGACATCTATTTTCTACAGCTGAATTTTAGCTTATCATCACTGCACGTTTTAAAAATTCCTGTGATTCCCCATCAATCTCTATTTTTTCTATTAGCTATAAAAACACTAATCCATGGGCATAAATTAGGAAATAGTTTGATTTTCTTGGTCTATGAGAACATTCTCTCCTTTTACTAGTAAAAATACCTGCATATTCAATTTTCTTCTGAGCCTTCCAGCATCACACAGCTGAACTCAGCAAAGGGATTTTTCACTGAGTTAGTTTCCCTGACTTCAAAAGCATTATGTCAAAGTGTGCGTCGAGTCCTTTACAAACAGCTAAGCAGAGAAAACCTTTAGTTCAGTGCTGTCTCGAGGCTGAAGGTAATCAGTTCTATTCCTGCTGCACTATTGGCTCCTGATGACTGGATGGTGATAACGCCACTGACTACATGCCCAACTACAGTAGTGAAGGATGATTCCCATAGTGCCAGAAAAATGGGAGGAAATTCCGATACAATTTGAAAAGGTTCAGTTTTTTTGTAGTACCTACTATGTATTCTGTTCACATTTCCTTTGCATCAAAAATTGAGGGGTGAGGAATGGCTAGGAAGTATTATAATTAACTTTTAAGGTGTTATCTGGCTGAGGAGCTGAAGTAGACTTCCCTAAACTTTGGTGCATTTCATATTTCAAAATCTCAGCATATGCTGAAAATAAAAGATATTTTCCAACATGCTGCCTAAAGAAAAGCCACTGGTTCACAGCTGAGATCAGCAGCCTGCATGCAACTGGGCAAAGCTGTCCTTCAAAGCATCAACAGCTTCTTTCAAAGCAAAAAGTCTAGTTCAGAAGAGCATCACTGATAGTTCACTCAGAAAATATGCAAAGTTGTGTTTCTCTTTGTAGTAGTTTCCTGCATTTCATCTAACATAGAATTCATTAGGTCTCTACCTGTGACAGGAAAAATACAGTGGTATGAGATCCGAGACAA